CCCCGCCGCTCCCTGTCCCCGGCAGCCTGGGGCTGATTCATTCCCTGCAGGGAAATCATTGCAAGGAGAGCTACCGACCCCCCAAATCATAACCCAAAGCCCCCAAACCGCCCCCAGCCCCTCCAGGTCCTGTCCCCATGGGGAGAGGAGCAAAGGACCCCCAGCCTGCCCCCAAACTGGGACAGCGAGGGGGGGTCCCCAGCTCCGGGGGGCTCCCCCAGCACTCGAGGGGTTCCCCAGAACCCGGGGGGCTCCCCCAGCACCCGAGGGGTTCCCCAGAACCCGGGGGGCTCCCCCAGCACCCGGCTCCTGCCTCAGCCCCTGCCCCTCGGCCGCTTTTACGGTAGTCGCTATCAAATGTCAATTATTGGGAGTGAGAAACAGCAAACATTGTAATTCAGCGCAGTCACAACATCCTCTGAGAGTGGCTGGGGCTGTCCGGCCGGTGACAGGGCGATTAAGGGGACCTGCAGCCCCTCCTGCCTCGGCCCTATCGGCCCCATCAGTAAACAGGGATGGAGACAGGGTGGCTGTGGCCCTGGGACAGGGGATGAAAGGCTGCCGGGGAATGGAAGCTGCAGCCTCTCCCTCCCAACCCCACACACCCCCCGAGGCAGGATTGCACAGATAAGGAGCTCCCACCTCCTCCCAATCCCCGAGAGGAGCCCTGGATGCTGCTCCTAAGGCGCTGGGCACTGCAGACACCTGAAAAGAGAAAAAGGGAAAAGAGGAACCTCAGCTCAGGGGAATGTGCCTGCCCAGAGAGCCACGGGGACTTGGGGGCTGTGACAAAGGGCCCCAAGCAGGGGGACAGGGCACCTGGGCAGGCCAGGAAGAAGCAGAGGCCACCTCCCCTCTTTTGGAACTGTCCCCAAGGCTCCACCAGGGCTCTGTCTCATCTCTCCGGAGGGGAGAGAGGCAGCAGAGCCACCAGAAAATTCCCTGCCTGGAGAGAGCCAAGGGTGTCCCCCAGGAGCTCCAGGAGAAGAGGGAGTGGGGCAGGAGCGAGCTGGGTTGACACTGATGGGTGCAGGGGGACAGTCACACTTTGGGGACAGTTTGCCTGGGCTGTCACCACTGCAGAGCTCAGCCAGGGACAGCACACAGGGAGCCCTCAGGAGGACAAATCCTGGGTTTCCACGGGGCCAGGCACTAAGATTGAGCTAAAACTTGAACTTTCAGAAATTGGCCCCGAGCAGGGCCCTTCATTAAATTGACAAACGAGATAGACAGCAGAGAAACTTCAGGAAAAGCCACAGGAAAAAATAACTCCCCACATCAGCACAGAACCCTCATATTCCCAACATCCCTTCCTTTCCTCAGACCCTGTTATTCTCTTCAAACATGTTTATTTTCCTCCCATAATAACTCGGAGCTACAGCTATCAAGAGATGTGACTGTCCAGTGGGATTTGCCTTGCAGGGGCTGTGCTGGGCACCAGCTTTGGGTCTGATCTCAGGACTGCACTGTGCTCATTCTCAGCAGGGATGAAGAATGCTCCCACTTCCCAAAGCTTCCCAGTCGCTGTGGGAATTGCATCAGGAGCAGAGGCAGGGCAGGATGGGGGCTCGGAAGGTGATTTCTGCAGGGGACACAGCTGGGCAGCAGCCGGGGTTGAAGTCCTTCCATTGTCTGCATGAATGGGCAGTGGAAGGAGATCCAGGAGCAGTGAAGCCCCAGCACGCTGGCATGGGCCGGGGGTGGATCATTTCCCCTCTCTCATCTCTCCAGCTCAGCCCACAGGGTCAGGCGGGGGCAAAAGGTCCCCCCAGGACTTCCAAAAGCAGCAGGGCTGAGCTTCCCTGAGCCCAGCCCTCTGAAAAGCTCCGAAAAACCGCACCTACCAAATCTGACCTGCTCCCGTCTGAGCCTGAAGGCTTTCCCAGCTCCAGAGCAGCACCAAAACCTGTCTAAGGAAAGGTTATTCCAGAGGGAAGTGCGGGATGCTGGAGTTTCCCCAGGGAACCCGAAATCACAGATCCTCCCAGCGCCCGGGGGCAGCTGAGGGCTGCAGGGAAAAAAAGCTTTTAATAAAATTTCCACTTGGATTTCATCTCGCCCTTCCCTCAGATTTTTTTTGGGGATTATGCAGCCTGGCACTGGCATTCACGGCTCTTCTCAAACCCAGGTTTTTTGGTTTTTTGGGAGAATTCAGTGCCCCAGCTCCACCTGAAGGTGACAGGGTGAGAGCAGCTCAGTCTTCCTGAGACAAATTGCACATTTACCCAAACTCTTTGGAATTCACACAATTTGTACGGGAACAAGTTGTAAGTTGCCTTTAGCACTTTTGTAGGAACCGAAGTAATTGCTTTTTTTTTCCCCCCCAAAAAAAGCCGTGGAGTTCCTAAAATGCCAGAATTTTATTCCTTAAATTCAAGGAGCTTTCACGTCGGAAATTATTCTCTAAAACAAGATACGGTCCTGGCAGGAATTAAGTGTTTAAATGTTCCTGAGAAGCTCGGCAGGAAAACAACCGATCAACAACCCTCTCTCCACAGCCCCTAATTCATCTCCCTGACATCAGTTTAGATCAGTATCGGCACTAAGTGATTTCTCCTTAATGGGGATTATTAAAAGAATCAACACCTTCCAAATGCCCCTCCCAAAGCGAGAAAGGGATGAGCTTTCAGGCTGGCGTCCGATTTTTTCACTCCTGGGTGGTTTATTACCTAAAACATGAAATAATCGCTGCATTTTGAGGCGGAGAAAGGGAACAGAGATTTCTCCCAGCAGATCAAGCGCTGGCCAAGCATTTCTGCAAGTTCATCCATCAAGGTTGGGCGAAGTGACACAGAATAAATTGCTTGAAGATCTCTACCTGTCTCCTGCAGTCATTTTAAACCCTGCCGCCCCACGTTTCATGCAGCAAAATCCATTTCTGAGCATCCCAGCCACATTTCCCATTGTCCTGCCCAGCCTGGTGCTGATGGGCTGCTGAGATGAGGAAAAACACGCCAGCTCCTCTGCCTTGGCATGAAGGAGCCGCTGCAGCTTCAAATGAAATAGAAATTATTCCAACGGAGCCTGGGTGAATGTGCCGAGACAGAAAATAAATTCTTTCCCAGGAACTGAGTACCCAGCAAGAGAAATTCCCCCATTTTTGGGCTCCCAATCCCATTTTTTGGGGGGGTTTAGGGCTCCCAGTGGGGTTTTATGGGCTCCCAAATCCATTTTTTGTGGGTGCTGATCCCATTTTTTGGATTCCCAATCCCGTTTTTTGGGTTTTTTTAGGGCCCCAAATGGGAAAAGAGCAAAGCATTTTTTAACCAGCTGTGTGTGTGAGCAGCTGGAGCACCGACCCCACTGAGACTGTAACTCATCTCTCAAGTCATCCCTGCTTTAAAAGAACATATTTCTGGGTGTCAATAAAGAATTGGGGCCAAATGGCTAAAGCACAGGTCTAAACCAGGAGATTGGGCATTTTTCCCAACCCCATTAGAGAGGAGCATCGTGTTTGCAGCAGGTTCAGCTCAGTCCTGCCCTCTGAGAGCAGCCCAGGGGCTCTCCCACACAAAATCTGCAGAGTTTACTCAATTCCTGCTTGGTTTGGAGGGCTGGAAAAATAAATTGTCCATTAAAAAAAAAAAAAAAAATCAAAAAAAAAACCCCACCCTTGTAGATGGGAATAAATCTTAGTGGTCAAAATTTTATTTTTTAGGATTGGTTAAGATTAATTTGTCTTGGGGGAGATATCCTGGAGCTAAATTGTTATTTGTGGAGATGGGTAAGCTGAAGGCATGAATGACAGTGCTGTGGAGAGGGCAAGGTCAGGAGTTAACAGGCTCAAATGGGAGGAAATAAAAGATTTGTTGAGTATTTCAGATTCTGGGAGCTGCTCTCAAAGCCAGCTAGTAAGAAACAAATGGGATTTAGAAAGGCATTTTAGAGTTTTAGCCCTGGAAGCAGCAAATCTGGTTGTTGAACAAGTTATTAACAACCACAGCTCTGAACACCTGCTCTCAGTCATTTTCCAGGGGTTCTGTGCATTTGGAGCAGGATTTGGTGCTCTCTGCTGCCACAAGAACACAGCAGAGTTTATTTTAGCACAGCAGACATTTCCTAAATTGATTGCATCGCCCTCCAGCACAAGCTTGGATCACAACTCTGACTCCTAGAAATTGTCCCCAAATCCCATTTTCCTGGCCCAGGATGTTTTTGTATTCTTTATTGTCTGTGCAGAAGAGAAGCTGCTGCCAGAGCAGTGGAGGAGCAGCACACAGACACGGGCAGTGCTGGCTGGGAGCAAGAGGAACCATTCAAAAAACAAACCACCAAAACAATTCCTACTCATTTCAGTCAAATAAACAAGTTCCCCCCATTTTTAAGCACCGAAAAAATTAGGATGAAAACCCAAGTGCCTCCACTCCAGCAAACCTCACGGTTTTAAAGAGATATTTGTGCTCTTTTAAAGGAGGAAAATGGAAATCTCACTGCTGCTTTGAGCATTGTGGAGGATCAGCTGCCCTCAGAGCAGCAGTTCCACACTTTACAGATGTGGCTAATCCCACTGGAGATTCCCCAGGGCTCAGGGAGCAGACAGCCTCACTGACAC